CTTAGTCCTTTATAATACAATCATTAGTGCTGTTACTGTTCAGGACACAGACAACAGGTGTTTCAGTAATCCATCACGTTCAAATGGGTCAGTGTGTGCTTTAAGCTGAGGTACTGAAGTCAAACTCATGTCTATGAAATTGTAACATCTATAACACAAGACCAAAAGCATTTACTGCTCATTACAAAGACAACAATGCTTATTATTACAGTTCATTGGGTCTGATTGTAAAATGTGTAAAAGTCAACATTTTCAGCATTACCTACTTAGTGAGTTGAGTGAATGATTGGTTGATCGGTCCGTGTCTAGAAAGGCCAAGCTTGAATTAGATTGCACTGTGGATAGTCTGAATAATAGGATTTTAGGATTAGATCTTAATAACCATGTTTCCTGAGGAGGGGTTTTTGTAGATTCATGAATAAAAAGGCTAAAGAACTAAAGTTTTTATGGACGAGGACCAGTTGTCTCTAGGGTTTGTTAGTTGAGGGATTAAATAAAATAAAAACTGTTGAAAAACGTGTTAATGGCAAAGATATTGGCACGTTAGCTCATAAACTTTGCTTCTGTCCATAAGCAGAGGTAAGTTTACCATTAGTTGTAGAAGATAATTCACAACAACCTCAGCGACATTTGTAGGAACCATGATTATTGAAATAATGCAGTAATGGACTCAGCCTAAAAAAAAAGACACGGCGAAGACACTAAACTATAGCAACAGGCTCAGCGTTTGATTGTGAGGATTAAAATAACTCCTCCACAGGTAAACAGCAAAGCCTATGAAACTTCCAAAATTGCCTCTTGTTGGGGACAGTCTTTACACAGTCAGTTTACATTACAAGTGTGTAACCTACAGTAAGAATCAAAACAAATTCCATGTATGTGCAAACTTACTTGGCAATAAAAGCTTTTCTGATTCTGAATCTTCTGATTCTGAATAGGGAATACCTCCAACATTACAGAGCAGTTTCAGTTTGTTAAATTTGGTTGCTGCAGTTTACCCACTGGAAACTCAACATGGCAGACTGCAGGCAAAGTGGTTCAACTATATGATGCATTTCTTTTTTACTCCAGGCTGAGGAGTGTGAGACTCACACTAAACAGATTCAGCTGGGCTTGAACATGAGGCCAGGTGACGCCTTTGTTTACCCATGTGTCACAAAGAGACTCTACCTGCTACTTTACTTCTGCTTAAAGCTTTCAACTCACATCTCCTCCTCAAAGCCAGTGTATACCATCTGCAACTAAGTGGCTGCAACCATTTGCAGCATTAGAATTGAAAGAGACGTAGCTACACTACAACTTTTTTCAGTGTTGTAACTCTATATAAACAGTCTTGACAGCAAAGGGGCAAAAAAATCCCATTGAAATGGGTCCAATTTCTCCTGTGAGTCAGATTTATTTTACAACTGTTTCATTTTTGTCATCTTATGTCACTCTTTAGTTTCATGTCTGTAAGCATGTCTGTGACTCCTCTCCACATCACACAGCTACTCACTCATATCGTAAATCTTACCAGGATATCTGCTCTGTACAGTGCACTTACCACATAATCACACTTGTACAACCTCCCCTGAAGACAACACACATTGATCTATTTTTCTGTCTGACAATATGCTCAATTGAGAGGCTAGACCTCCCGATGCAAAGGCACAATTTGTTAAAATAAAACAATGGCTGGAAATTTATGAATGAAAATGTTACAAACCAGAGGCCAATATTTTTCTATATTTACACTGGGTCTCCATGTGTTGGCAAAATTGTTGTAAAATGTTAATGTGTTATGATTAAAGGAGATGTTATCTAATCTCATAATGAACAGATTAAAAGCTTTCACAAGATGGCACCAACAAGTGCAGTGAATAATCAGCATCTATCAGACCAAAATACAAAGAGAGGTGCCACACAGTGTTTGACAACTGCCTGGATTGAGAAGTAAGATGAAATAATATGTCACCTGCATTGGTCAGCTCTTTCCTAAAATGTCTGTTACTGTACTCTGCATCGCTGTGTACACATCAGGATGGCACAATTTCATCATGTGAGGGGTTGAAAGTTCTAACCACAAACACAAGCTCTAAAACATAGGAAGTGAAACTAGACAACAACCATTTCTACAGGATCTACAGAAGTGTGCCAGTGTTTCAGCAACATAAAGCTATTTACTGATAGTTAGGAACCCAACCAAGCTGCAAAGCCACCTGCTGCAGTGAATGCTGTTCAAACCAGCATCACACTACAGCTTACCAACCTTCTATTAAAGGTACAGTGTGTGAAATTTTGTGATATCTAGTGTTGAAATTGTATGTTGCAGCTGAACACCCCTCACCTCACCCTCTCCTTCCAAACATGAAAAAGAACCTGTGGCAGCCTTTAATTGTCATACAAACCTAAAGGGTGTTTAGTTTGTTCAGTCTGGACTAATGTAAAAAACATGGCGGCCTCCAAAGAGAGGGTCCCCTTGATGTAAATATAAAGTATTTGAATATAAAGGGCCTTTTCTGGGTTAAGGAAAACTACAATTCATACAATTTAGATTAAATGAACTATTGAAAACATCATGAGGATTATTCCACATTAAATTTCTGCCAATAGTTCCCTTTCACCTAAATCACACACTGGACCTTTAAGACATTCAGAACTATACAGTAGCAGATTGGTTACTAAAAAGGGTTGATTAAAATAAATTGTATTAACTATAAGCAATTTGTCCAGGCATAAATATAGTAGCTTTAAAACTAATTGTCCACAACAGAACTTGCAAATGCTGCAGAGTACAACACGGTAACCCAGTGTCTTAGGGTCTGTAATGAATGTGTGCATACAGAGGCTTGCTTTAGTGAAATGCCACCAATACTAGGACATATATCTGCCTATCTATGACTGTGGTTACTTAACTGAATGGTTTTAGTGTTGAAAATACATAAGCAGAAGTGCTCCTTATTATGGACCAGGTATGTCACAACATTGTGCGTGTTTTGGCTTTGATTTGAAACATTAACACATACATATATATATACACTCAAGCCCCATTCAGGCAGAGTTTATCTCTCATGGGGAGGTTGGGTGGTTTTAAAGGAAAACACTATATAAAAAAAGCTGCTTCCATTTGTTATCATAACAGGCATTGGTGAGATGAAGAGGCCAGTACAAGCAGCCAATTAATTAGTCAATTGACAAAATAATTTTTGATTATCAAAAGATCATTTCAGTCTTTTTTTTTTTAGCTAGTAGTTGCTATTTCTGCCTTCTCAAATATGTGGATTCAATGCTTTTATTTCTCACATGTGACACTCAATATCTTTGGTCAAACAAAATTGACATATGAAGATGTGAAAAAATAGACAATAATAACACATTAAGCGATAATGACAATTACTATTATTTGCCATCCAAATCTTAATATAACACTTCATGTTAAGCCTAGCTTAACGCAAAGACTTGAGTCCAAGGTAGTGTATACAAGACGATCCTGAAGCTGCCAGATGGTGAATATCTCTTGTTTTCTCTTTGTGGCTCGGTTTGTGTATAGCTTGGCTTAGCCTTTGTATTTCAGACACTGTTCTAACTAGCAATTACATGTATTTCTGGATGAGGAACAACGCAGGTGCATGCGTAATTAAAAAATCCTATTGGAATGCAATCAGATCAGCCTGTCCACATTTCAAGTTTGCCCGACTGAGTTTAACGAGAACAACCTGTGTTGGATTAATTCATTGAGGTCCAAACTAACTTTCACAAAGACAAACCTACAATGCCACTTTAATTATAAATCAGCTCCGACATAGGTTTTGAATATTTATGGTTGAAATGGAAGCGATGATGGCTGCCTCCCCACCTAACATTGCAAAATGAACTTCAAATATCAAAATCAAGACAGCGATTGAATGAGGTGACAGATTAATAGTTAATAAATGTGAAGTGCCTGTTTTTATTGTAAACTTTAATAAAATGTGATTTATTGTGGAGGTGCAATCCTACATTAAAGTGGAAAACGTTGGGTTTGGGGTTTTAATACTGTAATTGATTCAAAAAAATATAAAGACAAACGAACAAGATCTACATTGGTGTGACCCTCGAGCATTCAATGAATCTAGTGTGGCCTCAGAGAGACATTTAAATTGATCATACAAAAGATGTCACTAAAAAACATGAAACACGAGCCCGTGTTACTGGGATCAAACAGGTACAATTTAGCCTTCAGACATGAGCAAGGCCTTAATGGAGTCAGGTCCTTTTCATTCATAGGGATAACGACATTCACCCATCACATATGGTCGTTGGATTCTCCACTACACAATCAAACTCAGCCACATTAACCCTGGCTTCAGGAATTGGTGTCTCACAAATCCGCAAAAAAGAAACCGCAACAGCCGGCGGTGTGTCACGATGCCAGGCTCATCCTGAAACTAGCATTTCTGGGACTGCGATGCCAGAGAGCTAGCTTACCTCTACGGCAGAACCTTTGTTATTGTGTGCGAGCGGCTCGACGGCGGATGCTAGCCGTTTAATCAGCTAACGCTAATTTGCTGACACGGCCAACGTCCACTAATCTGCCCCGCACCACAACGCAACGCTGGGTTTGTTGTGCAAAATTGGGATTTTCATTAACCAAGCCAAAGAGCCAATTCACCAACCGACTCCCACCAATGGGCTTATCGGGGCAGCTAGCGGGTTAGCAACCGTTCACAATAGCCCCATTGGAATCGAGCGCAGCCGTTAGCATTAGCATCAGCTGGTACGGATTGCTAGCTAAACACCCAGCTGAGGTTAGCAGTTAGCATCACCTGAGCTGCAGGGGGGAAAACACACACACGAGCAAACATACTGTCCTCCACACTGCGTTGAATACACCTCGGGGTGCCTGTGTGAGGAGCCGCGTGTTGGTGCAGATTGTCAGGAACACAACTCATTGTTTTTGTGACCCATATCGACCAAGCTTGGCATTAGCATCAGCTAACGTTAGCTGCTAGTCGGGCAGCGCTGTGCCTGTGCGCACTCACCAGGATGAGTAGCCCTGCTCCGCCATATCGCCGAAAACAGTGGGTTCTGCGACTGTGGCTAACGCAGATTCAGGTCCCGGTGACAACCCGCTGGGACCTCGGCGAGCCTTTTCTGCTTCTCCTCCACAATCCGACGTCCTTAGCGGTTACTTTTAGGTGACAACATGATGACACATCCCGGCGGCAGCTAGTGATCACTAGCTGAATATCTTGCGAGTGAAACGGGGGATGATGGTTCGCTATCGTTAGGTGGACAAGACAAAGCACCCCGAGAAAAAAAGAAAGACACGCTGGTGTTATGTTCGTCGGTTTTCGCGGATGTCTCGCCGTCACCTCAGCCGGGAAGGCTCGGTCTCTAACGATGCTACAGCCGCTGTGGATCCATATTCAGCGCGATGTGTCCAGGGTGAATTCGGATATTCCTCCGGTCTGCAGCCCTCGCTGTTATGGAAGACGCTCAGCTTTGTTTTCTATGGCGAGAGTCACGGGAGCGCGCAAAATCGCCCTGCTGTAGAGGTTTTCAAGTAGGACGTGCACGGAAATGTTTGCGTGCACTGAAATGTTTGCGTGCACGGCCTGCGATGATTTTACCCTCAGCTCGTTATTGCATCGCAGCCAATCACACGCACACGCAACCACACATCCCGTCCATTATAGGAGGTCGTCTGTGGTTAGAAGTGAGGTAGTTTAATTCATGTTGGAATCATGTGGTGCGATAGTGAAACCTGATTTTAATTTCCTATTTAAAAAAAACAAAACGTAAAACCCCCAAAATATTCAAGGCAGGTTATGGAAATAAAAGTTTGTGAGTAAAATGATTTATAAAAAAGAGCTAAATTACTTATGCTGTGTGTGTTATTTTTTGCAAAGACAGGCGTTGAACGTGCCCATGTAGGACTAGGCAATAAAACAATATCAATAATTAACATAATATAATAAAAGTGTATATACTTTTATACATATTGATATATTGCTTATGCATTGTGTAAACACATTTAAGAGGTATAACACAATGTTTTTCTGTTTATAAAGAAACTAGGAGAAAAACCTAGGTCTTGGAATTTAACGGAAATAATAACGTGACATGTACGTGCTAATTATCTATATGGACTGATATCATATCTAATTTTCGGCCATATTTCCCACTTCTATGCCCAGGGGCCTCTCAAATATATGGTTTGCAGAGTTGTTGTTATTTCAATAGTCTGCAATGTAACACTCAACAAAACAACACACTGCAAAACACTATGGTGTGTTGCAATAAGCCAATCCATTGAAATTATTTCTGGCCTAGTTTTATTTCTACACTCTTGATCATATGGTTGCTGTGGGAATAAGGGAATTAGATGAATGTTGTAGTTAATTACAAACATGCTGCATCCATTGTTAGCCATCAGTCCCCTGCGTTTGGTAAAAAACTCAACTCCATTGCAGGCAGGATTTTGCAGATGATGTATTGAAAGCTAAACAAACATTGCAAGGCCACCATTAATCACGCAGAGTAGAGCTCTCATTAGTCTTTTAATCGCAATTTGCACTGATTGCTAAACTTGCTAGAGTGAGTGATGACACCGTTTTTCTTGAATCATTTTATGCACAGCAGACCTTTTGACATGTCACTGTAGAAACGGGTACAGGAAGAGGGATGTCTGACACCCACTGCCTCAGTTTCTCGTTCCTGTTGTTGTGTGTGCTGGTTCTCTATCACACACTCACATCTTAAGTGAGACACTTGAAGTGAACAGAACCACTGTTAATGTTTTCAAAAACACCTGAGCTATTCTTTCTGTGATAAGTCAACATGAATCCTGTGATACTAAGTGTATTGCATCTTTAATGATCTTTAGATTTCTCAGTTTTCCCAGTTTGTGAGGTTTTACTTCTGAGTCTCTCACAGGACGGTTCAGCATTTGAATCAAAGCTCCTGTAGCCAATCACTGCCCTGTAGCTGTGCTGGTGGTAATTTTATTTTATCTACATATACATAATAAACTTAAAGAGATAGTTCACTGAAAAAACGAAAATTCACTCATTATCTACTCACCACTATGCCGATGGAGGGGTGGGTGAAGTGTTTGATATACCACAAAACACCTTTGAAGTCAATGGTGACCAATTTTTCAAACGTAAAAAAAACTAAATGCCTCCATATCAGAGGACATTCAGGCTAAAAACATGGTGTAAATGACACCGTTTCTTCAAGTCAAATTTGAAATTCAGGACTTACTGACACTTGGAGGCAGTATAAAGACATTTTCTGTTCATGTTTTTTCTGTTTGAAGAACTGGTTGCCGTTTACTTTCATCTTTGGGTGAACTATTCCTTTAAGCAAAATAAGAGGTCCTCATTGTCTGCATATTGTACGTATCTAAGGTTATCTTTCTCCTTCATGAAGCTCTACCAGAGATTTTAAGTGGGCAAATAATTCAACAAACATTGTGATTCACCATTAAGCCCAGCTGCAGTACAGCCCCCATTATCAGCATGAGGCTACAATATCCACCCTTCAGTATAAAAGCAGTTGACAGAGCGAACAGCATACAAATTTTATGAGCCACATTAGCAGCATGGTTTTAAGGACGGCAGTATCAGTGAACATTTCAACAACAACTGGATTGATAGCCATGAACATTTGTGCAGCCATTCATGGTCTTCAGATGATAAAGTCTGCAGATTTTGGGAATCCCTGTTTGTTTCCTCTAGCGTCACCATGATGTTGACATCGTGGGTTTGTAGTCAAACGCCTCAACAACTATGGGATGGATTACCATCACTTGGGTTATCACCTGACTTTTAATTTAGTGCAGAGTGGGTATAAAATTTCACATACTCAATAATCAATCTCTTCGTTTGCAACATGCATTGATGCACATTTTAAACAGTCATTCATGGTCCTTAGAGGACGATACCTGCTGACTTATATTGTGTGCAAAGTTGACATTTTACCCACAAGTGTGCAAAAATTAGGATTCTATTTGTGCTCAGTAAATTGAATTGCTATCTGCCCGTTAGGCTGAGTGGATATTCTGAGGGTGGAGCAAGGAAAGGTCAGAGGGCCTGAGGGTGGGGATAAGTATTGAGTGTTTAACACAGAAACAATTCGTCCTTTGGGGAGCATGGAGGTGGTCAATGTGTTTCATAGAAATCTACCAATTTAGATTTCTTGAGGTCAAGAAGACGTGTTCGTTTGATTTTGACACTAGATATGCAGGCGACCTGCACTCAGGTTCACCCTCTGAGGATCATTCTCTTAGACTTTAATTTTAAGAAAGGGTTGGCTCAAACAAAAGGTCATAGACGCTGATTTGCTATTGGTGCTATTGTGAAGGGTTCCTAACGAGCTAGCTGCCTTGATAATTTTAATTTATCTACTTTAGTCTAGTTGTTGTTGATGTATTGCGTGTTGCTGTTTTCTTGTTGAACCTTTTACTTTGTGAAGTACTTTGGTCAACCCAGTAAATGTGCTATATAAATAAAATTGACATTGACATTTGTTAAAGTGTGAGGAAAGGATGTCTGGTGGAGTCATCTGTGCTCGGCAGCACTGGAGTGTGAACCTGTACCTGGTGTTAAGAATGCTGTTGTTCAACATGACACAGCTTATACTACAAACACCTTCAAAACAAAAAAGCATTGCTGAGCCATAAACAAGGTCAAGACCTGAACTGACATTCACGGATGTGCAAAGAACCAACACAAGATGTGCATTTCACATTAATGCAGAAAGCCTTTGCCTTTGGATATTCACATGCAGATCTGAAAGCATTGAAAACAAGTCATACAAAAATTTAGCAACTATTTTAAAATCTGATCACAGGGCCTCAGCATAAATATGTGAGTTCAAACAAGCTCACACATCTTGCTACACCTTCGCAAATGTCAGTTTACATTTCACCATGTGCAGTGGAAACAAGGCTAATTGTAATGTTTTTCACTGTGTCATATCTACTTACATTTGGACTCTCATCTTGGTCAGTATGAATTGATGTGAATGCTTTACATGTGGCTGTTGATATGACAATGCAAAACATTTAATTCTCCATCCTTATTAAGTCTTAAATCACAGAAAATGTGCAGGAACGCTGTATATTTCATTGTCAGCATTACCACTGCAAAATTTTTGTCTATTATCTGTCTTTTACAAATTTAGCTTCATGCTTCACAATAAAAAAAATAAAAAAACGTTCAGATTAAAGCTTAGCCAAAGGCAGATGAGACAGTGTCTTTTCTGTAGATAAAGATGGCTTTAGGGGTTTAGAAAGGGGTCATTGGGATTCCCTCTTGCCAAAGAGTGTGGAGATTACCAAAGTCTGTAAAGAGCTGCTTTTCGTACAGATTATGTACAATCTGTTGTCAGTGGCAGAGTCTCATATTCACAAGACACAGGAGCAGCATTAACCAAAAACCTAATTAATTCAAGCGCAGCCAAGTTTTCTTATGTGCAGCATCCACCAGCCATTCATATTTGACATTCACATATCAAATGTGTGACAGTCTGTACTTTTTTTGAACATTTAGTTTATTCTGCTTCAGGGTCAGTTTGAAAACATTCCACGCCACATCAAATCTTCATAGGCATCAATAGAAGAGATTTATTTTTCTGTCAGGAGACGAGAAAGGACAAAATAACACTTAGCCACCTGAGACTGGAGTGTCAATCACTCTGAGCTATCAGCAACACTTAGTCAGCGTTCAGGCCAATGAACAGCTAAATGTTGTGTAATATAATGAGTGTGAGACTCACAGTAACTGCAGATATGAGAGCATCGCAAAGTTATGCAATTTAGTGCAAAATTTGTGGATATTTGGTGAACTGCAGTAGAGCCTCTGAGAAGAATTGTTAGTATGTGTTAAAGTCTGTACAAACATTTTCAATAATCAAATCTTTACAGAGATTCCTGTGGGGAAAATTTGTTGACCAGAAAACTTAGAAGAAGAGACACAGAACATCCAGCCACATAAATAGACTGCACAAATGACTGTGTGCAATATCCCATTTAAATGAGAGAAATGCCAGTAAGCAGCCTTTCACGTTTTAATTTAATTTAATTTTGAACTTAAACTTTATGTAAACATTTTGTTTTAAAATGAATGTAAATCATGTTATTTATTTAAAACGGTTTTTTAGTTGAAAAAAAAAGAATGTTCAAATACCCTAAAAAATAGTGTAGTACATAATTGTGTCCAGTAGGTGTGAGTGTTTACTTTAACAAAGGAAGATACAGTAGATGGAAGGTGGCAAACCATTTCTGCAGGGGGCAGTGAATTGTACAATAAAAAAAAAGTATTTATATATAATATGCACAACAGTTTATTCAGGAATATACTCTTCTCATTTCTATTATCCTGTGCAAGATCACTTTCTCTCATGTAGGTGAGACAAAATGTTCAACTCACTTTAACATTTAAAAAGCAGGATGATGACGACATAACATGAGTTTTGATTATAAAATCTGATGATTGACATATTCATTTTAACTTAATAACCCCCCTTTCTTTTCAACAGGTGATCACATCAGATGTTGCACATCCGGCAGAGCGGCTCTGCTAAATGCCTCAGTTCTCGAGCTGATTTAAAGCACCTGATTACACTTCTGAACTGATTAAACAGGGAGACTGAGTACACTGTCAGTATTGTTGTAGATCTGCAAAAAGATCCAACCTCCAGGTCATGTGATTGTGAGAAGGAGAAAAACCTAATGTACCATTTCTGTTCTGCAAAGTCGTTTGCTTTGTGAATTACTCATAATATACAATACTACTCGTACAATGTGTGATTAACCTTCCTCTCAGACTCTGGAGGCAGAAACAATGAATTACTCAAAGAATGCAGTTTTAAACTACCCAATTATTCCAATTTTTTTTTCTTCCTGCGCCTTCCTGAAGTGAAAGCAGCAGGTTTGTTTGAGTTACTCTATTGCAGTGATCCTTATAAACATATCCTGAGGGTTGGATGCTTGGACAAAAATGTGGGCACAAAGCCGAAATCGCTTCAGCACAATTCAGTTTGTGTATTTGTTTCAGATGCTCTGTACAAAGCTGACCTTTCATGAAGGCTACTTGTGCTGCATTGTGCATTTGTGCCACAGGATCACCAGGTGTCAGGCAGGTAATATCCCCTAACTATTGATCGCAACACCTAAACACCAGTTACACTGATTCCATGCTTCCTGTCACAGACACCGCTGACGAAACCAGAGCTGACTTTCACATCTCTGTACTGTGCACTGTTCATAACCGCAAGTGGCTGCTGAGCCGTATTCCCACAGCAAGTTCAGTTCATGCGGAAAAAGCCTTTCCTGAAGCAAATGTGTTATCTCAGACAAATGGTGTCAAATCATGATTTGCTGAATCTAAAAGGCGAGAGACTGATGTCAGAGTCTGTGGCTGCCGGTTGAGACGGGAACTCTGCTGCTGCCTCCAGTTCCCCTCCCTCTCAAGCAGAGTCGGGGGTGAACGCCTGTTTGAAGCTCTCCCTCTGGGCTCCAGGGTTCTGTGGGATCCGGGTGTGCTGACACTGTTAGCACGCCTGATATGAGAGCCTGATCAAAGCTGGCTCATTCTGCCTGACCGATTTCCACAGGATTAAGGATTAGGGAGACAGGAAGCTGGGAGAGGCACAGAGACAATCTGGGTGAGACAAAAAAGGGATAGTGAAGGTTATGGAGAGTGAAAGGGATGGAGGAATGGTGAAGGAGACAGAAGAGTCATAAGACAATGGCAGAGACCATATTGAGAAAAGACCGAATAGGGACAGAACAACAAGTAGAACAAATTGTGCATTAAAAAGGAAATGGTTTAGAATATTTCGCTGCTTTATTTTTTTAGTTCGGTCACATTCTGTTACCAACCAAGTTCTCCCAGAGGGCCGGGCTTGTGCTGCAGCTTATGAAGTGTTAAGTCTGATATGTAGCCGAGAGACAATGCTCGGCTTTTGAGGTGACATTTTTAAATCAAATGTAATACTAACAGGCAACAGTGTGATGCTACAAAAAAAAAGGTGCGGGGGGTGGCTTGCTGCTGCAGTTTTTGCAAACAGGAAATCTGACTTGAATTACAATCGTCTGAATGTAACCACATGAAGGCACTTTTGAAATAGATTTTGACTTGAAAGAAGCAAAGCCTGAAACAATTCATCATACAAGGAAATATCAGGTCACATTCAGAAGACTGTATGGATGTAATGTTGCAGAAAACGTTACCGGTCGTTTTGATTGTTACGATAGTTGTTACGGATCATTAAAAATATTCTAATCACATTATTCTGGACTAAAGAGTTTGTTTGAAAATCTTTCAGAAGAAATCTTGTGGTTAAATAGTAGAATTATATTGCCATCTTTTATGACAGAGGAACTGCTTTGTATTCAGCAGATCCGATCTTTGTAGACTGAGGCTGAAATTTTATATTCAGATACATCAAAACATCCATCTGTTATCTATAACTCAGGGAGAGGTTGCGTACAACCGTGTGTCACAGAGCCAACGTATAAAGATGCATGGCTGTGACTCAGGTAGAGCTGGTCGTCAACTAACCAGAAGGTCAGCAATTTGATCCCAGTCTCTCTTTCCACATGCCAAAGTGTCCTCAGACAACATATTGAACCCCAAATTGATGTTCCAACCGTGTACAAGTGCTGTATGATATGACATGATGCTGCACACAGATGCACTGTAAGAATGTGTGTGAATGGGTGAATTGCAAAACTGTGGCAAATGGCTTTGAGTTGACATCAAGACGAGAAAAGCACTGTATAAATAGAAAATAGAAAAGCCACACAGACATGGGAAGCCCATTTAAACTCCACAGAAAAACCCCTGGCCTAACTGAGATTCTAACCAGACCACTGTGCTAACCACTGCACCACTTTGACAGCAAAACAATCTTTATTTGTCTATCCCAGCCGGACATTTGTCTCCTTTGCAATGTTGTCAGGTCGTCGCACATTTGACATGTGAATGTTAAATATCAACTACAGTGACTGAGTGGAAACACTGACCTAGTTTAGAGCCGAGACGATTGAACGTGAGGTTTGATCTGAACAGGTATTTTCTTAGGTTTTGAAAATGATGTTCTATTGACTGTCAGATAGATTTCAACTGGAAACAAACTGTAACATTGTGGGTTCTTGGTGGCAGGTTTCAGTTCTCGGCACCTGACTTACAGTGTTTAATTGTTTCTAGATCCTGCTTTATTTTTTGAGAAGTTCAGACTACGAAATTGAAAGATATAACATGTCTGCAGTATAAAATGGCAGCAGAAGAGGAAGGGACTGTGTTGAGATTGAGTGGCTGTTAAAGGTAATTAATAAAATACATTAAATGGGGTAATAAGGACGAAGAGACACGGTGAGGGAGAAAGCTACAGGGAGAAAGAATGGAGACAACACACCACCTGCCTGCCAGAGCAGATTAAAAGGCCTAGATGAAAGGTCAGGGAGAGGAAAAGTTGTTCACCCCCACCAGATGTGCACTTGCGCTGGCCAATAGCCGATTAATTATCTCACAGTTCACGGCACCAGGCTCGGTGTCCAGGCAATTACATTACACTACACACCCTGAGCAACCTGATCTCGGGAATCTTCCTGCTAGACAGTGTGTGTTTATGTTTGAGTGTGTTCGGAGGAAAGGGAGGAGTCTCTTCACACATTGGTGGCATCCATAATGACCATGCAGTAATTCACGTCATGCCCCATTATGTTTTCTGTCTGTTCACGCATGTGTTCTCTTTAGCTGCAGTCAAGCAAAACACATTCTCTTTTTTCCTCCCTCGCCTTCTTTTTCTGTTGTTCCCAGAAATTAACAAGAAGTGGAAGAAACACATGAAGAGAACCACCCATTCACACCCCATGGCACGCTGCCTCATTTGCCCCAGCCTCTATCAATTCTTGGTTATAGCCAATAGCAATAAAGGAAGTGGTCCCACTGTCACAGAAACAGTTGGCACGGAAACAGCACATTACACCATCGTCCAATCCCCCTCCCATTCCTTTGTCGTCATGTCTCCCCTCCCTTTCCTCTCCTCTCCTTGCCGGTCCCCTCCTCCTCTTCACTCTCTCCCTATCTTGTATGTTTTTTCAGTCATCAATGAAATCACAACCAATCCTGCTGCTGGCCTGTCAGCAAGCATATAATACCCCAAGAAAAAGATCCTTTCACTGGTTCGCCTCTATTCTATTCTAGCAGGGCTCAGATTCCTTAATGGCCAATGTATATTTTATCACTCCAGCATGAAATAAATATACGCTGGATGTTCTAGCTAACCCATCAAAGCCTGTTTTCCCTCTCTCTCTGTTACTCTCATGATTTAATCCTGACCATTTCCCCCTTCGCTCTCTATCCCTGCTGACTCCTCCCTCCATTTCTGTCCTGCACTCCCTCGCTCTGCCTCTCTGTCTCTGGCACACTCAAACACACGCACACATATATACACGCCCTCCACCCCCATCGCTGCAGTGTCTCAACTGCCTTGGAGCAAACAAGAGAGGATATAGAACACAGACGTTAATAAGACAGCGAAAGAGGGGTGCTGAAGGGAGATGTATGTGTGTGTCTGTGTGTGTGCGTGTGTGTGAGAGAGACCCTCTGAATATGAGGAAGAAATGAAGATGAAGCAGCAGGACTAAAGGTGGATTGCATACAGCCTTTCCCTCCCTGTAAGGGCTTGTCTGCAGTATCCTTTCGTAAATGGATGCTGCCTTGTGAACACGGTAAGCCTGACTACTCTCACACAGCTTCTTTTTTTTAAATGTTTTTTTCTGTAATCACCACAAGGCTGGCCTGCCTGTGAGGAGTGAGATGTTTCATTACAGCAGCTCTGTGGAGGGCAAGTGTGTTTTCCTGATGAAATGGGGAAGGTGATGTTCAGAGATGGCACCATGGAAGGCAGCCTGTCCAGTCCCCTCCTCCACCCTGTTAGCTCTGTGCCAACGGACGCTGCTATCTTGCAATTTGACTCATCATCTCCCCAGAGCATCCTTGATTCTTCGTTCTGAATGCAGTGCTGCGTTCATGTAATTACTGTATGTAGGACATGCAGAGGATGCATCAAATGTGTGTGTGTGTGTGTGTGTGTGTGTGTGTGTGTGTGTNGTGTGTGTGTGTGTGTGTGTGTGTGTGTGTGTGTATGTGTGTGTGTGTGCGTGCATCCATAATCTATGAAACAGAAAAAGGGGAAATGAGAGCGTAAAAGCACCACCACACACACAATCAGGTGTTCAGTTCTTACAACTGGCTTTACGAGACACTGGATGTGAATGTGCAGTGGGAGGTGCACAAATCCCACGGAGCCTGGCTCTGCAGGCACTGGGATAAGCGGGCAAAATTTGTGGCCCGACAGCAGCACAGGAACGTTGTAGGATTTGCCAGTGGAGCTCGTCATCTGCAGTTCCACAGGAGGGAATTTACATTGACAATGATTAATAATCTAAAGCTGGGATTTGTTTGGTTCGTTTGTGTCCAGCTGTTTGGGTCTGTTTGTGAATGCATGTCTTAATGGGGAGAGCGGGGAGGAGGCAGCGAGCAGAGTGTGGTCATTACTCAGCAGCCTAAACAGAATGATTTTTTCTGTCTCTACAATATTTCATATTTCTAAAGGAGCATTATGGATTTTCTTTTCAGTGTGGGGGGGGTTGGGATTGGTTGTGTATCATCAGGAGGGCATGAGTATTTGTGTGTACTGTATGTGTGCTTGTGTTACATGCTTGTAAGAGAGAGGAGCAGTGCAGGGAGGGGTCGAGGGGCTGGGGGGTTTAACAGTAGGGAGGCAGATGGGGCAGAGGGGCGGAGGTTGATGCAGCAGAGAGCAAGAGAGAGAAAGAAGGAAAGAGAAGATTTGGAACAGATTGGATAAAAGAGAAAGGAGAAAGGCAGTGATAATTTCATGAGGGTAGAAAGACTGCTTTTCCGAGCATAGAAAGACTGCTGGATGTGTCTGTGATCCACCAGCAGCCGCTCACACCGAGGCCTTCAGACATCTGTGAATCAAGGCAAAGATGGTGGATAAATTCCTCTTGAGCACTAGTGAAAAAAGTCTATCAGGAATATTAGTCATAGTTTAGCTGAATCTTCTGTAAAGTTGCTCCTTTGGGGCTTGCGAGCAAAAGGCAAAAGCCTGATGGGAATATTGATCCTTGTCATAGTCAAATGCTGACAGACTGGGATAAACCTCTACGGCTAGATTCAATTTGGATTTACTCCTCTTACTCAAGACATTGCTTCACATTTTGGAATTCAGATTAAGTAGCTTTTACAGAACACAAACCATATTTGAAGAATGTAAGTAGCTATGTAGCTTCTATCTAGCTTCTATTTCCGATTAGTTTCACACCTCAAATGACCACTGTCGATGAATCAAATTCATTATTGTCTATGTATTTTTAAAGAAGGAATATTTTGTAATATTGTTGTAAGTATAGCTAGTGTCGAGATAAGTGGTACCCGAAATCTGCAAATACTACATTTTTCATGATGCCGTCTCAAGAGACAATACATGTCAAGTTGCTGGCCCATAATATCACGGCCGGAGTCAGATGCATAACAATACATTTTCTGCAGGCAATACTTTTGAGTCTTCGGATGATATTTGTCCAGTTGTGATCTTGTTCTCTTGTGGTTGGTTACCATTGCAAGAAAAAACCAAGGTCACGTGCACCGAGACAACAGCTTCAATCAGCCCCGCAAGCTATGTTAACATCTGATTCGTGCCTTTGTTTAAGCTGTAAAATAGTGATAAAAATTTGTCTGAGGTCTCTGACGCACTTGAGTTCTAAAATGGCTGTGTGCTGCCGCTCAAGTAACCTTAATGCATGTAAAAACGAGAGCAGTAGTGTGGTGAAACCTACGCGGAGTTGACCTCCTTTCACCTCTTTTGTTACTTGCTACATCCACTCCACCGGGTGACATAATGGCAGGGGACAGCAGGGACAGACTTGGTTTTAAAGTGACAGCAGCTGTCAAGGTAGCAGCTCTCACATGGTGGAAGGCCACTGTATCAGGTGCACTTTTAGCCATCCATAACCTTGTAGGTGAGCACACGGCCGATTTGGACAATTAGACTGAGCTCTATTACAGCTAAGTACCAAGGGGGCCAAGTGAGGCTCCCACGGCAGCCTAGTTAATATGATGATTAATCTGAGATGTCATTTATTTCCTGGAAAAGGAAGAGCAGAATTATCACAGAATTCTAACACACTGACTTCAGCAGATGAGAGAATCAGCGTGAAGCCCGATGGTCATGCAAAGGCAATGAAACATCACATGAAGGACGTATGTGTCCTTTAAGTCTGCATCTATCATCTGCTTTGTCACTGTGTGTTAAGACCAGTCATTGCTCTTATTCAGCTGGCTCAGCATTTGTGTTTGTTGTGGGTCTCTAATCCTCGGCAGGTACAGGGACAAAGTGTCATCTCCACACAAACGGCTGCAGGAGACATTTTTTGGCAGCCTCCCCTTTTAGACACGCGCTCATGTGGAGACTAATAATAATTAGCTAACAAAAGTTAACTTAAAGCAACAGTGAGGAAGGCTCAGACCAAATGTTAGGGAGGGGCTCTGTGAATGAGTAAGGATTAAGTTATCTTTTTTTGGTGTTACATAAAACAACATCAGCTCAATTCATCCCTCTCCTTCCTCTTTGGCCTCCTTTCTAATCTTTGCTGGTAGTCACATACAGGGGTCTGTCTGTTTTCCTGAAGCCAGTGAGTGAGACAGCCTTACTCCCAGCACTCAAATCAGAGAGGGCAGAGCAGAGGGGACTAACAGAGCAACTTTGTGTTCCACTGCACACACATAACAGCGGTCATATGACAACAAGGAGGTGGTAGAGTAGCCGGGTGGGGAGGAAGGAGGAGGAGGGTTGTTGAGGGAGTGCTATGGCCTACTACCCACTGAGGGATGTTGGTCTGAAATTAAATAAACAAGAGAAAGAAGGTGTGTGTGTGTGTGTGTGCGTACCTTTGCCGACATGCAGTGTGTATTGCATTCAGTCATAATAATACAGGTTTTGTGGAATACAGCCAAAATGCAGTTGTGTACTGATGAAGGTTTGCAGAGTTGCTTTTTACATCGGAAAGTTGGTCATGTGTGACAGTGACCTCTACAGTCCATCCTTCCTTTCCACTTTTACCTTATTTACAATAAATAATAGAACATGATACTGTCTGTGGTCTTGTCGTCCCGTAGAGGAGTCCACTCTGATTTCCGGTGTTACACATGAAGTAAAATTACATTTCCCTGTTTGAACAGGTGACATTTTCTCATATCTAATTTTCCTCATATCTGTCCCCTACCCTTACACAGTCATTATGTAAACAGAAACAGTGCTGCCATTGTTGTCTGTTAGGATATTGGCAACAGCGAGATTAAACTTATTTTGATGAAAAACATAGATTCATTTAGCTTTTTCGAATATTATTTCAACATTCATTGCACGTTAACACTGGTAATAGATCTAGCGGCTTAATTACATCTGCAGCAGCATGAGATAGTTTCCTTTTCCTGTTCCAGTTATCGAATCAACAGCACATCTTGTCTGTGGGTGAAGCCTGAAAGTGTCCATTACCCACAATTTCCATCTGTTGCATAAAGAGTTGATCTTATCACGACCAAAGTAAAGATCCCACTCTGTATTTCTAAATGTAGAATAGACTGATTATAGCACTAAGCGGAATATTTTAGATTCACAAATGATACACTGTACAACAGAAGTTTGTTCTTTAAAAGCAAAAAAACGTCTGTATTCATGAGCAGCATATGTATCAGACAGATAGCCAAAGGCTGACACATGCATGTCCACCCTGTGCCATCTTATCCCTTCACATCAGACAGCCTACCCATAACTCGGCCTGCACACAAACATGCCATTGTCATCACTGGCTGGCCTTGTGACTCAGTGTGACCCGCTGGATTGGAGCAGGGGGAACACAGTCATCGAGATCAGGAACGTTAAACAGAGCATTATCGCAAAAAAGCATCTCGCGTACAGAGGCTCTGCCCCCACTCCATCTCCACCCTCTAAACAGCCCACTGTTTTGGGGGAGTGGAGAGGAGAACACTGCCCATCATTGTTTTCCGTAATGAATGAGTAGTGTCCTCACATGTGTACAGCCATCTTTCTCAGAAGTCTGCATTCAGTGCAGCATGTCGGGAAGTGAAAACACAAAATGTTGAACAAACAATTATCAGAGCTAAATTCAGAGTTTATGATCATTTCTTTTAAACATTGTATAACAGAGATTTTTGTTCAGGTTGATGAATGTTCATGTGTGTGGATTCATGTTTCTGTGCATGTTACAGATGTCCAGAGACAAGAACAATTCAAGATATTATAGAAACAATCATTAAAATGTCTAAAAACAGCTACAACTCTCTAATATATGGTTTTGAATAATGTTCAAACCAAGAGAAATACCCAGTTTTATTCAGGGTAATGGGACATTTAATTTTGGTCCCCTTTTGATTGTGACATATTGGCTGCTAGCAACTGGCATTAGCCACTCGTGATGGATCACGATTATTCATTACTGTTTGCTACGAAACATTATCTCATCTGTGAGCATGATTTGGGCCTAAAATTCCCATGATCCCACACTTCTTCACAACATAATCAAACTAGGTATTTTATTATTGTTTTTTTTGAGAGAGTTTGTTTGAGTGGTCAAAGTTACATATTGTATGTTAAAGCTAAAACTGATTTTTTGGGATTTGGGGA